CAAAATCGTGGAGTTTACCCTAAAAAGGTCCATTTAATGAGTGGAAAATTATGACCCGATAGCAATTGTTGATGTTGGGGCGCTTCATGTTTGAGCCATGCCATATGGATGAGGTGGAGTTTCACGCGCCCCCGCGCGAGTCAAAAAGCAAGCGCTGGCTTTCGTTCCACCCCTTCTCAGGTTGGAGTGCAATGGAATGTAATTTTAATGTAATTTTAATGTAATTGTAATGTAATTGTAATCTAATTGTAATGTGATTGTCATGTAAATGTAAATGTAATTGTAAATGTAAATGTAAATGTGCATGTACATGTAAATGTGAATGCAAATGCAAATGCAAATGCAATGCAATGCATGTATGTATGTATATCTATCTAACATGATCAGTATATGATTCATATTTATAGTATTTCAGTATGGGCCAAGTTTTCTGGGATAGCTGTTTGGACCCATGGCTGGTCTCAGCTTCCAAGTTTAAGGTCCCATGGAAGATGTCAAAACCCTGCAGGCCGGTGGTGTTTTCCATTTCGGGCAACGTCTGGGTGTCTGAAAATTCGGTGTGTACCATCCAAGAATGGCTTAACAATGGTTTATGGTAGATATAACTATAGTTAATGGGGATTATAATGGTTTATGAACCAACTTATAACTGGGGGTGGCCCATCCTGTAGGGAAAATGATGATGAGCCATGGGGATTTTGGGAGTGCACAGCCCAGATTTTTGATCAGAGAAAGCGACTTGGTGCGGTGCCACTGGGATTCCAACGCCAGTGCCAGTGCCTGCCAGGAACACACCTGAATTTGTGTGCCCTTCTGTCTCAGATGGGCAAGCATCAGGAGGTCCACGTTGTCCACGTTTCGGCTTCTGAAAATGCTTCCAAATTTGATGATGACAGAACACTTCACTTCTATTCGTAGGCAATATGGGCAATATGCAAATCAGGAAACCCTGAAGAGTTCCCTGAGGGCGAGAGGCCTTCCAGCACAATGTGCATCGCCCCCACGTTAGGCGCTGCAACATGCTGACAAAGCTCTGAAGAAACTGGAGGCACCAGTCATTGCGCTAGGGCCGCTAGGGGTTCGAAGCAAAATGACATGGGAACTGGGAACGTATGGGAACCATGGAGTGCCACAGGTTTATGAGTTGCTATCCATCTCGAAATAGGGAACCTATTTTTCATAGTGCCATGTTTTTCTTTTGGTCAGCAAATATATAGTTAACATCTTGCCGTAGCTCCCCCTTGCGGGTCCAACATTAGACATACGGATGGATGGTTGAAGCAAGTTTGGAGGCCATCGAGGCTAGGTGTCGATTTACTTTTGGTGGGTCTTTCGTCTTGCGCTATCAGAGCCTTTGCTTACAGGCCAACGCTTGTACTCTTGTGGATCTACAAGCAAATTCACAAAAAACATAAACCCTCCACATCACTCCCTCGCTCTTATAAATTATAAATGAGACCAAATTTCAATTTTGGCATAAGCAACTATGTCGGCAAAACTGTGTTTTAGATTCATACACGAATGAACACACAAGGACCAGTTGCCCTGTATATGGGTGTGGCGTTGTCTTGAAAGTCTTGCAGACTTTGAGTGCGTTCTGTGAAGATTCAAGTCCTCCCAGTTCTACTTAGCTCTTGTGTGCCTTCTATTGCTTTGTTTTCACGCTTTCCCTTCGTTGTTGTTTACCGCGCCGCTTGTTTGCTGGTCAATAAACAAACAAACTGCAGTAGATGTATATGGGTCGTACAAGAATGTGGCTGACCCGTTGCTGTTTATAGTATAGGATGTATCGGCCATTTTGGAGTATCCAACCTTGAAATCGCCTTGACACAGGCGGCCCAGCATTCACAGCAGCGGGAACCTGAGATCAATCAGCTGTGTTGCCCAGCCCTGGTAGGTACTCTCCGGTATTCAAACACGGCATTGGAAAATCCACTATAAATGGAGGTTTACAGCTGGAAAAATCATCCATAAATGGGGATTGTCCAATGGCTATGTTTGATTCCTGGACAGTATAATTATATAGTTAGTATATTTTTTTCACATCATTTTTTTGGGATTGGGGGCCCAGAAGGGGCAAACTTTGTGGCATCATGGGCAAACATTGGTGGATTTCCCATCATGGGCTAAACTTCCATGGAGTCACGCAGGCAGTCGCAGCCCCCTGATAGCAGCTCTGAGCTTAGATGCCCTGAAACCAGCAGATCTCATGTCATGAAGATTGAGTTGTCATTCCAAGGCGGTCCTGTAGCAACTGGAAGCACGAACAGCGAGAGCTTGATTTGTCAGGCTCTCAGGTTTGCAGACTTTGAAGGTCTCTCCGGTCTCCGGTGGGTGCGGGATCAATTGGATTAGGTCCCTAGTTTTTTTTGTTGGACTTGCGCTCCTTTCCAGCCTGGCAAATTCTTTCGCAGCTGTGCGAGGTGTTGCCTACTTCAACATGGGGGCGGAGTACGAGCACCTCAAGAAAGCAAGTGAGGCGCTGTGGCACTACCAGAGAGTTCCCTTCTCAGTTTCCAAACATGACGATGTTTCAACATCTTTCAACTGCAGCTTGCAACTTTAGCAATTTTAGGATGGGAAGTGGCTACGCAGCCATTGTTTTTGGTGGTTGATGTGGAATGATGTGAAGCTGCTGAAGTACCGAGGCTTACGACAGCTGTCTGCAGGAATTGGGGGAAGAGCTGGGGATCTCAGCAGGTCACTGCTGGCAGGTTGGTGCGCTTTTCGGCTGGGCTGGGCTGAGGCATCCTCTGAGCAAGCAAATCCAAGCTTGCGTGGATCAGCTGCAGCAAAGGCCCGGGGGGTTCTCTCAGTTTCAGCTTGGAAAAAATAGGGAAATCCATGGGCAACCCCATCTGCCAACCTGCAGGGCGAAGCAGAAGGCAAAGCCGGCATAATGTTTCACACCGAGCTGATATCATCCCAACGATTCTGATTGCATTTTGTATGAAAAGGTCCACAAGTTCGACCTTTCAAGCCTTTTGCCTTCGAATTGGATCTTGATGATATCAGCATCATCATTAGTGTTAATAGTTTCACAGTCTGGTGTTCGCTCAGACAGACCTAATCCATTTGCTATCAGACAGACAGCCAAGTCCTCCTGGATCCCTAGAGCTCTTCCACCTCCCCGCATTCCCCGAAATTTGATGTTTCACAATTCGCCGCTAAACTATCCGGTGTGCAGTTGCATGTGTATTTCATTCTGAAAATGGTGTGAGGGACGCAGACATCCAGGTCATTCAGGGTCTCCAACCCTATCAGATTACATGGTAGATTTACATAAGCTGAATGATTGGGATGGTCATGTGCCGATTTCTTGACCGGGACAAATCACTCTAGGGTTCTCACTGAGCTATCACTGAATCAGCCGATCCTGGATACAAAGCCTAGTCATCCCTAGTCTTTTCTGGTTATCCCATGGTTATCCCATGATGCGACTGGATGGGATGAACCAAAATCCACACTCTGCAGCCGCTGGCTTCGGGCCGAGCGGCAGCTGGTTTCCTGTGATGAGGCGCCGCAGGGCGCAGGGCTTCACCCGTTTTTCCACGCCAAGTCATGACCGACTGCAGGGCACTGGCAGGGTGCAAACGCCTCACCTTTCGGCCGCTTCAACAAAGGCTGTCCGGGTGGGTCGCATGCCCTTCAGAACCCGGGAATGGAGAAAAAGGTCTTTGTAAAGTATTATGATTGTGAAGACCTGGCAAAATGTCGCAAAAGTTTCTATTTTCGAGTTCGCAAAGGTAACATATATAATTATATAATCATTCTGTGAAAGTTTCGCAAAGGTAAGATGGCACGAATCATCATTATACATCCATCCATCGATCGATCTATCTATATAATCTAATCTAAACTAATCTAGATCTAAATCTAATCTAATCTAATCTATCTATCTATCCATCTACAGATCTATTCATACACATTATGTAGATATACACAAATACAGCTTATGGGAAATTTTCGCAACAGTTCCATGAAAGTTATGCAAAATTTCAGACAAAAGCGAAAGCGCATTTTAAAGGGAATGGCCCAGTAGGCCTTACATATATAAACCCAATACGCAACAATTTGTCGAGAGCAGGGATTCTGTGATGCTAGCTGTATTTTGACTAAAGCAATCCATGATAACGTGCCAGGTAGTAACATCAAAAGAGGCATTGTTGACCCACATGGGTCTCACAAAAGATAAGCTTGGAGTTCGCGAGAGTTTTGCTAAAAAAAAAAATCTATTTCGCAAAGAATGACAGTTTCCGGATGAAAGAATTAGATCAACCAACCTCCACGATCCTGCACGTAGGTTAAGGTGGCAATCCACAAGCTCTTCGGAAGCACTCGATGCAGCTTGGCTTCTATGTGAATTGTGTAGAAATGGTGCATCTCCATCATATTGATAGCGTTTACACAGTGTTTACCCTTTTCTATGCGGAATCCTCAGCGACTGCAAGATGCCGATCTTTCCGAGGCATACTCCAGAGTGGCTTGCTCCTCAGCTTTCATTCTCCATCGCTGATGACAGATCCAGCTGCAGCTGCAGGTGACCAATGTGGTAGATACTGTTGGGCCTGCAGTGGTGGCCATCAAGCACAAAGATGGCCGCGGACAGGTGGCTGCCATTTTCCCAAGCTGAATCACTGAAGGTGTCTCATGATGTCTAGATCCGTGGTGGCCACACTTTTCTTGATTTGATAGGGGGTTAGAAAAGTGTCTTGTGTATGGGTGAAAATCATGGGTGATCCAAGACTTTGGCCATCTTTTTTGGCCACAGGGGAGCGGCTTCGTGTTCAGCTCGGATGGCTATATTGTCACCAATGATCACGTGCCTGGTGCCCCAACACATGCGGTCCTCAGCAACTTTCAAGGACTAGAGAGAAAGACACGCCGTGCTCGCACAGTGAGATCTATAGTAGCATCCTTTGATTTTGGACAGGTTTCATAATTCCCTGCTAATTCCCCCAACTGATAGTTGCATCCTTTGATGGTTGTTTTCTTGTTTGCTACAGATTCTGTCTCAAGCGGCACCTGATTTTTCACCCCCAGCCGCGACAGGCTGGGCGATGCAACTGGATCTGACATCGTGGTTTCTTTGACCGATGCTACGGGCTGAGTACATTTGAGTCACAGCCGTACCAACTAATGTTCAAAACTCAGCCGTACAAATCCCAATTTGTTGATAAATATTCAGCCACTTCTGGACGTAGCGGATGCGTATTATGGGTTTACCACATGGCCACATTACCTTGAAATCAGTGCCTCTTGCGGTTACTCTTTGGGAGGACTCTGTTCTCCAAGCAGAGCTGGTTGGCAGAGATCCACCCACTGACATTGGAATTCTGCGAATTCCTTCCCGGGGAAGGTGAGGGCCGGTGAGGGCAGTACTGGGTACATCTGGGTACCATTTTTTGTACCACCATGAGTCTATGAAGGTCGCCAAGTCTATGAAGATCCTTCTTGCCCTAGTGTGTCTAAGAAATTGAGATTTGCTATCCCTCAAACATCTTAAAACATCTTAAACCATCTTAAAACATCTTAAATCATGTTAAAACATGTTAAAACATGTTAAAACATGTTAAAACATGTTAAAACATACAAAAAATAAATCAAGACCTGAGATTGGCAGAGTGTCACAGGTCTCTTCCTGCTGTGGAGTTGGGTGATTCATCCAATCTACGCGTTGGTCAGCTGGTGGTGGCCATTGGAAACCCCTTGGGTGCCCTTGGCGCGACGATGGGTGGATGGTATCTGAACAAGGGGAATTTTATCTCCAAATGGCCATGAAATAATAGGGGACATGATGAACCATGGTTTTTTTTGGTACCCCATTTTCAGACAAACCCAGTTGGTGACTTCTCGTATTTCTTTCGCCTTCACAGTTCCCAGCCCATTACAGTCACTATATAACATTTATAAGCTGAGATACCCTCTACTAAGGTTTATCCAAATGCTATAGACCAATTGAACAGTGTATTCTATGATATTGTATACATCGCTGTAGGCTTCCTGGTTTTCATACATAAGAAGCCACCGTTCGGGGTGTCTCCACGTCCCAGGCTATGCCAACTCCGTCAGTGCTGGGGTGGTGTCTGCGCTGGGGCGCTCCCTTCGATCGCAGTCGGGGCGGTTGATTGTCACTGCCTGAGGCAATGGATGGAGGGCCCAAGAATGGTGGTTTCATGTGGTTTCTATATCGCTATTTTGCTGGTTTCTACCAAAATCTGGCAATTTACGCACCCGGACATTTCCTTAGCTTGACACACGAGCAACTTATGATTCTGTGAAACCCGACCTTGAGCCGTACCTGAACCATTGCATATTGAACCTTGAAGCGCTTGGTCCAACATTTGAGATACACCCCGCTTGCAGCGGTTGTTGCATGGTTCGAACTCTCCGAGGACAACATTGTCCAGTCAGCGGCTCACTGTGGATGCTTTCAGAGCGAAAGCATGGCTCGATGTGAAAGTTGAAGTCGCTACCCTCTGGTAATTTAACGTAGCTATTGAAAATGACCATAGAAATAGTGGATTTTCCCATTAAAAATGGTGATTTTCCATAGTTTTTTGTAAACGTTTACCAGAGGGTACCCCAAAATCCGGTCGCAACGACTTGAGGACCGATACTGCCATCAATCCGGGAAATTCTGGTGGGCCCTTGGTGGATTCGAATTGCAAGGCCAGGCTGGCGCTTGGTGGTTTGCAACGCCCACATGGCAGATTAACTGCTGGATGTCGCAGGCAGTTGGCGTCAACACGGCGATCATCTCTGGGACACAAGGGCTGGCTTTTGCTGTACCATCCAACACCTTATCATTTGCAACTTGGCAATATTGGCAATACCTTATCGGATAAGCCTTATCGCAGTGACCAGCCTAGCTTGTGAAGTTATGATGAGCTCTGGTGAGCTATCGAAAAGCTTACAGGTGCCGGCCAATGTCCCGAGTGTGTTGAATATGAAACATTAGCGGAAGATATGTTTGTCGAAGATGATCATGAGACATTTCACTACCATTTAAACAACTTTCTGAGGTCGTTTCACAGCTCATGCAGTAGGGCGCTCAGCTTGAATGCAAAGCTGTCTTTTCTCTCTCAGTAAGGGTATGGAATTCCTTCCATTGGTTTGTGAATGTGAGGTTTGGACGCGTCAAGAGAGGCTATTTCGGCATAGTAGGCCACTGGATCGGAAATCTCGGAAAGTGGCCGTCCTGATCGCGGAAACGACAGCTGCCAGGTGGTTCTCGTGCGATGCATCGTCAACTGCAACAGAGCTCTTGCCTCAATTGCGCAGAGGTGTCCTTCATCAGTTGCAGCCATTGAACTTGCTCCCAAACTTCCCGAACTGTTTTTTTTTTAAAACCAACAACATGATCAGTCATTCGCACAGCTAACTAGGACACTGACAGGACATGACTGTCAAACACTCTGTGTTGTTTTATTCCACACAGCTTTGTTATATTTGTTTGATAGTGGAATATACAGTGATATGAGATATGCATCAAAAACAGCAACCATATAAAATGGAGAAACATGGGAACTTCATGCAATTTTCATATGAGTTTCATAGGGTGAGGAAACAACCACTGGATGGTGCTTTTCTACCGAGGATATGGTTTGATGCCAACTGCCGTTCAGGTGGCTGGCCTGGACCCCGAAGGACGACTACTGCTACCATTTGATGATTGGGAGACCATCATGTCATTGTTTTTTTGGGGCTTTTAATAGATTTTAAGCATGAACATTTGAGGGATAATATGATGTACTTGGGAAAATATGGGGAGATAGTTGATAAATTTGATCAATGATGAAGAAACTGGGGAAGTTGTTATCCACTCAATACATGAAGAACTTGGTGAAACGAAATGTCCGATCGTTTCGCGGGATCAGAAGTGGAGCAGCCATAGTAAATTGGGGTGCTTCCGATGCGGGTCCCAATGGTCTTTCCGCTGGTACCGCTGGTAGGACCCGCCCATCGAGCTGGCATTCAGCCGAACGACTTGTTGGTGGCTGCAGATGATCAGTTTGGAGCTCAGTTGTGAGGTGGGGGCTTCTATATGCCACACATTCACTCTGAAGAATTATGTGACACAACCAGTCCAAAGGGATTGGGCCACTGCATCAGTGGGTGAATTTCTGCTTGGATTCTGTTGAAATGATATTTTCGCCAGAGAGTTCTGCCGCACTGCTACTTTGCTCAAGTTGTTTTGAACAGCCACACATCAAATTTGAAATCACAGGTGAGACGTCTATGCCACACGGACTCCCCGTGCTGCTTTGATCGCGTGAAGGCCGCTTTGACACAGAGGTTTTCCCACCTCGAAAATGCTTGCTGCGCAGCCGCCACCCATTCAGGCCATTTGCCGGGTAGAACTGGATAAAGAAGGTAGCAGGTAGCAATTCAGTACATATAACATCATATAACATCATATAACATCATATAACATCATATAACATCATATAACATCATATAACATCATATAACATCATATAACATGTTTATTTTTTTATGAGTTTTGCTGGTTCGCCACAAGGATATTTTATTTCGGAAAGGAGATGTTGCTGTGATGTGACACTGGATGTTCCTGAATCGTTTGCGACTTGATCGACTGATAGTGTCAGGTGCATGGAGCTTTGAATTCAATTCAGCCTTCGCAGCCAGCGTTTGAAGCTGAGTCAATGAGGATGAATGGATGAACATAACTATGGAAAATCACATTTTTTCATGGGTAAATCCACTATTTATCTGGCCATTTTCAATAGCTATATATGTAACAGGATGATCAAACATGGCATTTTAGGTGTACTGTATATACTGTGTACCCTAATCTTGGACAAAGCCATTGAATCGAAATTTGACGCCAGTCGAAGGTTGAAACAGCCTGAACGCCATGCTGGATCCAGATTGAGCCTGAGACTGAGCAAGATGTGTGGCTTCCAGATTTGTGCAAGACTAGCCAGGAATCGTAGTGCCAGATTTCTGCTTGTCAAAACTGTTTTGAACCGAACGTTTTTCAATCACAGCGGTAACGCACTCCGAGGCAAGTGGCCAGTAGCCTGTTTTGCGGTGGGCTTTGTGGCAGGAAAACATCGACGAAAGGTTCGGAAGGCCTTACCAGCCTTGCCCACCACGAAAGTGAGGCCGACCGTGGACCTATCACCCAAGCTCCAATCTTTTCTCGAGACAGTCGAGACAGGTGGATCCAGTGCTCCGGGCAAAGGAGGAAATGTCTCTTTGGAAGGCATTGCTCGGGCAGAGGCAGTTTGGAAGCGACTTCGAACACGAGCTTTGCAGCACAATCGTGGAGAAACTTTGGACCCTGCCCCTGAGGTGGTGAAGAGATTGAATTGTGGTGGTCGCAAAGTGCCCATGAATTCGCAATTCTTCGATGTGGTGGTTTGTGGTGGGACCTTGGGGATTCTGGTGGCACGAGCCCTTCAAAACCAGGGCTTCGCAGTGTGCATCGTGGAGCGAGGGGTGGTTCAGGGCCGAGATCAGGAGTGGAATGTGAGCTGGGAGGAATTGCGGCCCCTGGTGAGACATGGCATCGTGAGCCAAGCGGAACTGGATGGATCGGTGCAGTCCTCCTGGCCCAAATCCCGCGTGGGCTTCGAGTCCTCCCATCATGGTGTGGAATTCCGTGCCGGAGCTTTGAATGCGGGGATCTCTCCCCAAAAGTTGGTGGAAGCCGCAAGGAGGCGCTTCGAAGAGGCAGGGGGAACCATCATCGAAAGGACCAGCCTTCAGGCCATGGAGATTTATGATGATGGTGTCTTCCTGCGATTGCAGGACGAGGAAGCCATTGGAGCGCGCTTGGTGGTGGATGCCATGGGGGCTGGCTCGCCCATTGTTCAGCAGGCCAGGAAGGGTGCACCCCCTGATGCGGCGTGCTTGGTGGTTGGGACCATGGCCAGTGGATATCCCAAGGAAGCGAATGTTGATGGCGACTACTTGTACTCTGCCTCGGCCGAAGGGAGCCTGGGACATCAAGGTTTCTGGGAAGCCTTTCCCTCGGAAAATGGTGGTGTGGATGGAACTGAACGCACCACCTATTACTTTACCTATGTCTTGCCGGGCGAGGAAAATCTTCCCTCCATTCCAGATGTCTTTGAGGAGTATGTTGAAGCTTTGCCTGGCTATCAACAGTGTTCCTTGGAGAAGCTGCGTGTGAAGCGAGCTCTTTGTGCCAGTTTTGTCGCCTTCAGGGACTCGCCGTTGCAGACACCTTTCGATCGCATCCTTCAGGTGGGTGATGCGGCGGGAATCCAATCGCCACTGTCTTTTGGAGGCTTCGGCGCCCTGTGCCGACACCTGCCACGGCTAGAAAGTGCCATCTCAGAGGCTCTGAGGCATGACTTGCTGTCTTCAGAGCATCTGAGTCAAATCAATCCCTACTTCCCAAATCTTGCGATGCAATGGTCCATGTATCGCTCCATTGCCAAACCCCCAGAGGGTGAGCCGGAGTTTGTGAACAGAATGATGGGAGGCATTTTGAGCGCTGCCGAAAGGTGTGGGCCCAATGTCATGATGCCAATACTTCAAGATGTCTTTACCCTCTCTGCTCTGGGGCCAACTTTAGCTTCTTGGATGGCCAGGGACCCTTTAATCATTCCGCTCTTCGTGAAGAGTATGGGACCAGAAAATGTGCCTGGGTGGATTTGCGTTTTTGCCGCAGCCTTTTTTCCATACTGACACTATCTGACACTTTTTCAGCAGGCATGAAGTGTTTGAAATCTTTGGACCAGGAATCCAGATAGACTCCGGACAGAGACACTTTCTGTTCATTGAAATTATCCCATTAAATCCCATTAAATCTCAGATTCCAATCAACTCTGGTACTCGGATAATTCCCGTTTCCGTCCCTGCTGATTTGGATGGGGGCTGAGTCAAAATTTTCAAAAGGACCTCCCAATCCGCGGATGCCTTGGATTTTCCGTACCAAACATGTATATCTATATTATACACAAAAATAATATATATATATGATTATATATATATGCATCTATACATATATATATGTACATTTATGAGACATAGACACTTTATTGTGTTCATGGCTGGCGACCGTTTTGCTCATTTAATTTGGCTCTCGCCAGCTGGACAATGTGCTGGTGGTTGATGTTTGTATGGGACTATACAGTTCTTTTGATTGTTCAATGAGGATATTAGAATCTAATCTTGGGATTATTACTACCAACCTATATACAAGTAGCTGCAAGTAGCTTGGGATAGGGTTTTGGGGCTCAGTTGGTGACCTCATCTCCAGGTGCTGTCCGCCATTGGCCACTTGGGCAATCTGGCGAAGTACACAGCTCTTTCTTCACTGGAGCCCCTGCTGGCCGCTGCATTGGATGTGGAAGGTCTAGCTCCCGCAGAGCGGTTTCGGTGGCATCGGCGATTTGACGCCTGGAAATATGGTAGCGGTCTTGACTACGAGAGTCACAAGTGAGGCTATTATGACCATGCACGGAGTGGGGCGACGAAACAGTTTTGTCCCACACATTTTCCTCTGAACAAATTGGGATTCTGCCGGAATATTCCAGTGCCACCTCGGCGCCTCAGCAGTTTCCCGATTTTCGTTTGGGAGTGGCAACTCAGAGGGACTGACTGCCTAGATTCAGTGTTAATAGAGGAACGATACCCCACTGAACATGTCACCGCAAAGAACCACACACACACACACAGTCCTTATTAGCAGCTGACCCTGCTATCGACATTCGTGATCATTTCAGGCTCCCTGACGTTGATTTTTCCAACTGCGGTCGACCGGTTGGGCTTTTCCCTGTTGTTGCAATGGTCAGCCTTGCAACGCGCGAACTGTTTCGCATACCCGCGTATAGATTTGACTCCCTGACCGTCCGTGTCAGACTTTGGAGTCGTGGTTTGCACAGTCACAAGCTAGGGATTAGGATGCTAGGGATCAATATCCTGGAGCCCTGGTAAACATCAGAAAAAACTTATAGTCATGGAATTTTGGATTGACAATTGATATCAAATCATTGGTTTTGACCCAACCTGAATATGGAAAGTGGTTGTTTTGAGGTTCCAGGCAGTCGTTAATTGCTGATTTTCGGCTGCACACTGCCCTGGAAAAGGATGGCTCAGCCACGTGGCTGCACCAATAGGACCATTGTGATGGACGGCGATCGGGACTCTGAAGAATGACATGACAGCATATTGACTACTGAAAACTGCCACTACTTGCCTGGAAGTTCTGGATGAAAAACACGATTTCTGGACCAAGGCCTGTTGGCTCTATGGACGACTTGTATCGAGTCTTGTCTTTGCGCCCGCCTGACACTCCTTTGTGCGGGGCTTGGTGGTAGGTTGGTGGCCGAGAGTCGTTTCCCTTTGGACCTACTATTTCGAGGAAAGTGCGAGTTCTACGACCTCTTCCTGGTCTCTTCAAAAGTCTTTGCCTCAATGTTTTTACCGCAGCATTCTAGAAGCAGTCGAATTTGAATGGTTGGGCGGTTGGGTATGGTCCGGGGCAACGGTCAACTCCTCAAAGTCGACCCAAGTTTTTAGGTTCAAAAATGCAGCACCGCAACCAAATGGTGATAGGTTCAATGCCATCCCTCAGTTTCGGTGACAGTGATCCCGGCATTTGAGACGGCATTTGAGGTTTGGATCTGGTCAAAGAAACGGGAGTTTGACCACCAACATTGGTAGGTAAGGTGATCAAGTACAAAAAAAATCAAAAAGCAATCAAGAGTTTGGTGCCGTTGGCAGGCCTTTTTACTAGACACATTTTTTCCTCTACAACAGGCGTTTAATGTTGGTTAGTTGTCAAGGCTTGGAGGTGACCGTGATCGTGGAGGAGCAGTTGATTGGGATTCCATGGCTTGGTGGGGAAGATTTACAGTAATGATTAGTAGTGGTCATGGTGTTTGCCATCAAATATGCAAGGTTTCTTGTACCCATTTTGGGAGGGATGTACTCCCAACATTGGGGATTGGAATGGGGGTTGACCCATTCCCATGTTTCGCAAAGTGCGTTAGAATCACTTTGCGGTAGTTGAATAGGTCTTAGCTACCCAAAAGGTCATTTCTATATAGAACACATCATGAAACCCGACCAATTTCGGAGAATCATGAAAATAATAGCCATGCATTATGCAATGGTCGGTTTAGATATTATATTAGAATATATTACATTGCTTCTGGTCATATTTTATGGGTCATTTCTGGCCTTTTTGGTTTCAAGTGTTCAGTATGTTCAGTTGCCCCAGAAATCTCATGAAAATGGGATGACCAAGCCATGACTGACCCCAACTTATCCAACTAATCCCTCAACGGGTTGACTGTGGGCCCATCCCGGGCCGATGTCACCAGGAAGACCGCAAGCTGCTTCAGGGCGCCGCGAATCAGCCTCGTTGCTTGGGGAACATGTCAATGAGAAATCGGAAATCCAAACGGACATTTAAGGGGAACCTTGCCTGCAAATGCGGGCTTCTTAAGTAGTAGTGCTAGTAATTTGGGGGTATAACTCGTAGCTGTTAGTGGTATAGGATCATGAATCTATAATTGTAAACCAGTCAATACTCAACAAGAATCAACCAAGTGCCAACTAACTACCCCTCAAACGCCTTTGGTGAAAGATCTTGGATCTCATGACAGGTCCCATTCATTTTTGGGGTATTTTAAGGGCTGACGCCCCTCGTCGGCTCCGCCGGATTTCTCGACCCTCCATTTCATCGCAGTGTGGGCTTGAAAGCTTTTGGATGGGGACCTGCTTCAGAAATATAGTCCTTATGTTTTTTGAAAAAAGTTCATCGAATAGGAACTTTGTTGGAAATAGACGGCTTTTTTGGGGAGCAAGTGAGTTCCCGAAAGCTCCTGCCAAGGGTTTTTCCCGAAGAACTGCTGCCAATTTCAACTTGTTACTTCGTGTAAAGGCGCCTCTGTGCAAAGACTTCTCTGTGTAAAAGCTTTTGTGTGTAAAAGTTTCTGTGTGTAAAAACCACTTTGTGTAAAGACTTCTTTGTGTAAAAGCTTCTGTGTGTGAAAGCTTCTCTGTGTGAAACGTCTGTGTAAAGATTTCACTGTGTGTAAAAGCTTCCGTGTGTAAAAACTTTCTGTGTAAAGTGTAAAGGCTTCTCTGTGTAAAAGCTTCTGTGTGTAAACGCGTCTGTGTGTGAAAGCTATATATCTGTGTAGAGACTTCTTTGTGTAACAGCTTCTGTGTGTAAAGGCTCCTAGATGTTTGTGTGCAAAAGCTCCTTAGAGTAAAGACTTCTCTGTGTAAAACCTTCTGTGTGTAAAAAGCTCCTTTGTGTAAAGGCTTCTCTGTGTAAAAGCTTCTGTGTGCAAACGCGTCTGTGTGTAAAAACTCTCTCTGTCAGGCCTTCTTCGTGTAAAAAGTTCTGTGTGAAAAAGCTCCTAGACGTTTGTGTGCAAAAGCTCCTTGGAGTAAAGACTTCTCTGTGTAAAACCTTCTGTGTGTAAAAAGCTCCTTTGTGTAAGGACTTCTCTGTGTAAAAGCCCCTGTGTGTGTAAAAGCTTGCTGTGTGTAAATGCTTTTGTGTGTAAAAGCTCCTCTGGGTGAAGGCTTCTCTGTGTAAAAGCTTCTGTGTGCAAACGCGTCTGTGTGTAAAAACTCTCTCTGTCAGGCCTTCTTCGTGTAAAAAGTTCTGTGTGAAAAAGCTCCTAGACGTTTGTGTGCAAAAGCTCCTTAGAGTAAAGACTTCTCTGTGTAAAACCTTTCTGTGTGTAAAAAGCTCCTTTGTGTAAAGGCTTCTCTGTGTAAAAGCCCCTGTGTGTGTAAAAGCTTGCTGTGTGCAAATGCTTTTGTGTGTAAAAGCTCCTCTGTGTAAAGGCTTCTCTGTGTAAAAGCTTCTATGTGCAAACGCGTCTGTGTGTAAAAACTCTCTCTGTCAGGCCTTTTTCGTGTAAAAAGTTCTGTGTGAAAAAGCTCCTAGACGTTTGTGTGCAAAAGCTCCTTAGAGTAAAGACTTCTCTGTGTAAAACCTTCTGTGTGTAAAAAGCTCCTTTGTGTAAGGACTTCTCTGTGTAAAAGCCCCTGTGTGTGTAAAAGCTTGCTGTGTGTAAATGCTTTTGTGTGTAAAAGCTCCTTTGTGTGAAGGCTTCTCTGTGTAAAAGCTTCTGTGTGCAAACGCGTCTGTGTGTAAAAAGCCTTCTGTGTAAAGACTTCTTTGTGTAACAGCTTCTGTGTGTAAAGGCTCCTAGATGTTTGTGTGCAAAAGCTCCTTAGAGTAAAGACTTCTCTGTGTAAAACCTTCTGTGTGTAAAAAGCTCCTTTGTGTAAAGACTTCTCTGTGTAAAAGCCCCTGTATGTGTAAAAGCTTCTGTGCGACTCCTCCATCCAGCTTTCTTTCGGGTCACGCTGTCGTCCAGTTTCAATCTGCAACATTGTTTCTTGTGGAAGAATGCAAAGAACAGGTGAAAGCATCGCGGGTTAAAAAATTGAACATAAACAGCGCACCAAGTGTTGTAATTTACAGCATTTTGCGCCGTCAGATGGCAAGAACCCGCGTAAATACCACAGTTTTAGTCCCCGAAAGTGGCTAAAACACTGTTATTTGCAGGGTTTCGTTCACGTCACGATCTTCGATTTTTTGAAAAACGCGTAAATACCAGCGTTTTTTGCGTTCATCAAGGCAAAAAATCGGTTCAGAAAGGGAAGAAAATGCTGTAATTTACAGGGGTTTGGCGCCGCCACGGGCAAAAAACTGCGTAAATACCAGCGTTTCGGCGTCCAAAAGTGGCCAAAACACCGCTATTTACAGTGTTTCGTGCCTTCCACGTTTTCTTGAAATTGCAAAAACACTGTGAATACCAGCAGTTTTTGCGATCAACCCGCCAAAAATGCTGTAATTTACAGTGTTTTTTTGCTTGGCTTTCAAAAACACTGGTATTTGCGGTGTTTTGTGCATCTTGGGTCCAAAAAGTATTGGTATTTACAGCATTTTCTGCGTTTTTGCATGGCTCCCGCAAAAGACGTTAAAACGCAAAAATGCTGTAATTTACAGCATTTTGTGACTTTCGAAAAGCGAAAAATCGTCCGAAAAATGTGTCAAAACGGCACTTTTTTCCGATTTTAGGTACCCTCCAAACGGGGGGGGGGGGCCTTTTGCTCTTGGAGACGCTTATGAGCGACCCGGATTCCGGCCAAAAAGCTCTCCCCCACCCTCCTGAAGGATTTTTGGTGTTTTTCGGGGCCCGGCGTCGAAGGGTCGGCGGTTTGGGGCGCGCCTCACCATAGAGCTCTAGTCGCTCTGGGACGCTCGTGACGCATTTGTCAGCGTACTCGTGGGGAGCCGGCGGAGCCGAATTTAATAGGGAGAAAGGATTACAGGAGGACCATTGATTATTTATCTGAATCTAAAAGCTCTTTGGGAGGTTCTGTAGTTGTCTACTGATATGATATATTCTTAGAGTGGCTTTAAGAAGAAACATGCGGCTTTCAGCTCCATATTTATTTGGCTGGGACCATTTTTTTCTGGTGGATTTTCCTTTTTTCCCTGGTGACCGTGAGGTTTGGTTCAGCATACAGTACGACCAATGAGTGACTTTAAATTATACTGACCTTAGACGTGTCACATGGGTCACAAAAGGTGACCCTTGGAGTGACACCTGAAGCAACTGGTGTTGAAAACCTCAGCGCGTTTGGCAGAACTTCCGGATGGCGTTTGGGTTTGTGGGGTATCCCATAGCTTTATAATTTATTCTTATTTTTAAATAATGTTTCCTGGTTCCTGTACGCATGGTGAGATGATCATCAAACAAAGATGTGGTTGTGAAGCAACCCCTTTGCTGCTAGTTTGGACGCATCAACTAGTCCTTTGAAGAGTGAACGAATAGGGGGCCTGCTTTGGTCATCAAGCATGGCAATGGGAAAATCATTATGTTCAGTGGGAAAATCGCTAAGTAAAGAATGGAACAACATCTTTAGAAGCTAGCTTTAAGATGCCCTGCATTTTTTGAGCTATGTATGTACATCCCCAGTGACCATATTTGGGACCTCCATTGCCACCACCTTGCCGCAGATTGCTGCAGATCAGCAAACCAATGTGCTGCGATGCCATGGAACTTACAAAAACAGAATCAAGGTCTACGGCAGATAGGACCATTGTGTGCTTTGATCAAACAGAGATACATGTAGCAAGCACAGTAAAAAACTGCTTGTGTCTTTGGGCACATGCCACCAGCAGAACTTTGGAACCTGCAATCCTCTGCCATCAATGGCACCAGCTGTGTCGCCTGCCATGGCTTTGGGGTGACCGGGTGACCTTCGTGTGGAGCTTAAGAGTCCACAGATCCTTTGAGTTGAACCGTTCCTGTTGCGAACAAAAAAAACCTTGAACCGTTCATGATCAAGGCTGTTTGACTTGACACGAAAGTAGGTGGCCCCTGACACTTACGAAGGAGACTCCTGATACCCCCTAAGGAATTCTCTCCTATGGTGTTTCCTCGCTCTTCAGGTTGATCCGTTCTTATTCACATCCTTTTTTTTCCCCTCTCTTTCTGATTTATATGGCGGTTGGAACGGGTGTCCTGGCCGTGTAGCCACTCTCATTTATATACATACACTACGGTAGAGTATTATCATGTATGTATATACACAAACAGTACATACACAAACAGTGTGTATATATATATATATGTATGTATATACATACTGTATATATATATATGTATTGCGTATGGTCAGCTCCCACACCATGACCCGCAAGTATGGATTGAGGATGGGGGGCGCTGACTAGTATAGGACATGTCCCTATGTCCCTCTGTATGACCCAAGTCCCGGGCCCTTTGCGGAGGTAGCATGCAGCCAAACATGGCATGTGGAGGCGGCGAAGGGCGAAGCTGGACCACTCCGCAGTGGGGCCATTAGATCAAAACCAACCTTAGGGAACTTAGGGATTAATAGGGATAAATAGGGATTAATATGGATTCATAGGGATTATATAATAGGGATTGATATGGTTTAATACTATCCACATGGAGATTTCAAAGGGATTTTACAAATAAACATGGGGATCGATGATCTATATAATGGGAATATAACCAGGAATATACGAATTTCATATGGATTCAACCAACAAGAATAGGGATGCAGGGAATAAATAATGGGGATGTATAATGGCGAATATAATGGGATAGTGCATAAATCAATCAAAGTGGTTGTTTCGCCGGGATATTTCACGGAGATATTTCACCAACATGAATATGATTTGGGTATTTTTGAATTTGGGATATTGAAGGAACAAAATTAGGGATCTAAGTCTAAGCATGGGAATATAATAGGACAAGCAAAGATAATTATAGTATATCGTATATATCACACTATGATTTGGGTCAGTCCAGAAATGGCGTATTTTCACTACTTACTGTTTGAATTCTTCCAGTTGTTGACATTAAGTGTCATTCATCAACAGGTTGCGGGAAGACTACCAAGGTTTCACCAACCATTTTTTTGGCATTTTCCATTTAACCAATCTCCATACTAATCTCAATCTCCATGTCCCCACGTTGCAGGTTGTATGCCGAATGGGCCTGGGTGCATGCAGGGAGGGATGGGCTTGGCACCAAGTTGCGACGTGTTCTTTGAAAGCCGTGGTGGCTGCGACTGCAAAACCAGTTTGTCTGAATTCTTGCTGCAATCTGAGGTATGGGCAACATGGGCCAGATGATGGGTCAAATGCCCATGATGGGCATGAACATGTCCGGAGGAATGTCAGCCGGCATGCAGTCCGGTATGTCATCCGGCATGTCCCCAAGCATGTCTTCTGGCATGGGAATGTCTCCTGGAATGTCAGGAGGCATGACTGGCATGCAGTCCGGTATGTCATCCGGCATGTCCCCAAGCATGTCTTCCGGCATGGGAATGTCTCCTGGAATGTCAGGAGGCATGACTGGCATGCAGTCCGGTATGTCATCCGGCATGTCCCCAAGCATGTCTTCTGGCATGGGAATGTCTCAGGGTACATCGGGTGGCATGAACGGCATGAACGGTATGAACGGCATGAACATGCAGCCGTGCATGTCATCGAACATGCCGCCATCGAACATGAATATGCCGATGATGGGTGGCATGGGTGCTTCAGCTGCAATGAGACATGGCACAAATTCGAGCAACTTCGAACATATAACCATGGGATTCTAATGACCATAAGGTGGGGTATACCCCCTATAACTGTGGTTTTATATTCACTTGTACATTTGACGAGTTATGGACCTTTCATCAGTGTGAACCCAGGCATGGCGATGATGCCCAATCCGATGTGACTTGGTGTGGAAATGGGTTCCCCCAAAACTCCATGGTCAAAATGGCAATTTCCCAGGTATCCGGAGTCCATTTGGCAAGAGACGCACTGTTTTGAATCGCTATGGATTTGAATCATGGAGTTTGCACTCCAAGCGTCCTGGGGCCGAGGATGATGATGATGGCAGGTGCTATGGCGGCTGCAAAAAACAAGAGATCCAAAAGTGCGTCACCAAAGCGACATTTGGATACATTCAGCATCATTCAGCATCATTTAGAGGTTTCCTAAGTCATGGGACACCTCCAACTCATCCATTTCAACAGGATTTTCCATTAAAAAAGAGCCATCCATGACTTAGGAATCCCCCTTTGTTCGCATGGCGATGCCAAGGATCAGCCTCCCCTGTGCCGGAAACATCGCAAGGCGACGACAAGGCGCGGCGACAGCGCCATCCCCCAAATGTTTTTTTTTCATGGAACAACCTATAAAAAATGGATGATTTAGGGGGTACCCCCATTTTTTTCAAAAAACCTCCATATATAGCAAACAACAACATATAACCAGCAACTAGTTGGGGATGTACAACCTGAAAGGTTGCTTGGTGGCTGTAAGTGGCTCTAGATCTTCTGATCTTTTGGATATACTGTTTGGTAATTTAACATAACTATAGACAATTAGACAATGCCCCATTTAGAATATTTACCTACCCTTTAAGATAGGTGATATTCCAGTTCGCAAAGTGTTGAAACTACCCGAAAGCCGAAAGTACTACCTGGGGACCGGCTTCCGATGGGGTCACCATGGGAACGTGCACTGGAGGAGGATGTGAATCCTGATTTGCTGGATCCAGATGTTCGAATCCTGGCAAATAAAGGCCAACTTGGTTGGTGCCCTCTGCTAGTTCGAAACATGTTCATTTTCATCCATGAATGGCATGTTCATACATATACATATACACATGTATAACATACGTACATGCAAACCATTTATATATATATATATATGTAAGTTAAGCATCTGTAAATGGGCCGTTTTGCATACAAGAGGAGTCCTCCTGAGATTGAAAAAGAGTAGCCAAGTCCCAGATGAATTCATCAGGCTTCAGGTCTCAAAATGGGGAAGCCCAAATCCTAGGGTTGATCATGCTTTAATATGGTCTATATCTCATTTATCATGGTTTACCACAAATTTTCCTGGTTGAAAAAGCCGAATCTTTCCCATTTTGAGGCGACTCCAAAGGTTGGTGCTTCAAGGTCCCCAGAAGTTCATCCCTTAGAATTTCCCAATTTTTGAACCTCATTTTCGCTTAGGAAAACTGGGCGATCATTTCAACATCGAAGACCGGTGGCTGGTGCGGCTTGACGAGCTCATGAGACACTTGGATTGCTTGGGGGAAAGCTTGAAGTGACAAGTTGCAATTGGAGTTGTGACCTCCGTTCCATCTCAACTGATCAATCATTGCAACAATGCAACGAAAACTTTGTTTTGTCAGGGTTAAGACGTTTTTTTTTTTCCCAGGAATTTTCATCTTTGAGAAATCAAGTCTTGATTCCAATTTGAGGGAGTTGGAAGCGTTGAAAACCAGCTTCTGAATGAGAATGAGTCATGTGGTCAGGGAATACCCAAGCTTTGATTTTTCGAGCTGTCTTGTGGCCTGTTTCTGCACACCAAGGGAGACGGAAAGATACCAAAGATCAGGCGCCTTCGATGGTCGAAAAGATCGGATCAACCCTGATTTTAGGTGTCACCAGGTTTGGTGTTGCAATTCATATTGACACTGGGTGCCACACATCTGAATGTCATATATGTCATATATAATTATATATATATTTAAGAAACCCAACGTTTTTTTTTTTGCTGATTTCCCTGAAACATGGCATGTGAAAAAAATGACTCCAGGATCTGGCCAAACTCTATGAGGTTCTGGAGCAGGCACGAAGCCCCACAGGAGCGACCGAAGAAACATGGATCATAACATCAGTGACAGGGTTGAAAATTGGTGGCCTCCATTTTTGCGGGTAGAATGTGGTGTGAACCTTTGCCAATCAAATGCAGTTTCTTTACAGGGATATTGTGCTGTTTGAAAGGACTGCTTAATTTTTCATGCTGCAATAATTTCTGCTTTTTTTTTTTTAAAGCATCGTCCCAAAAGGAGATTGCCATTTTTGCATTAGAAAGCACTTCTTTTCAAAAAGACTGCAATTCCTGTACTCAAAGCAATACTTGATTGAAAGAATTGGATCTTTCAAATGAAAACTGCTTCTTCAAAGAAGAACTACACTTTTCCAAAAGGAATCAACTGATTTCAGAGAAATATTCCACATGTAAAAGGGATTAAAAGGGCATGTTACATCTTTCAAGATCAGCTGTGTTTTTTGGATAAGACATTGCATGCTTTCACAGCAGGCTGCCTATTGTGCAGGAATACTGCTTCCATTGTCTACTTTCCGGAAGGAACGGATTCAACACCAGCTAAATAGAGCGAACTATTCCTCTCTTACTTGGGTGCAGGGCCCCGCATTGCGAAAATTTTCCAACATTTTCCAAGTGCCGGTAAATCAAAACGGATGGCTTTCTATTGAACACGATTCATGGTTGCCAACCCAAAAAGATGCTGAAAAGTAACATCCTACTAAAATAGCGTCACACAAATATGATACATGACTTCTTTTCCTATCTTTTTTGCGAGTTCCTTTATAAACATGACGTTTTCAACCTGCGACTGATCAACGGATCCCAGCCATCCCAGCACCAGCCATCCCAGCCGCCACCAGGACTCCTGGTGGCCAAGCTGGGAGAGATGGAGTGTGGTCAGTTCGTGGGCAAGGCGGCCATCAAATACTAGTGATGATGAGGTCAAAATGATGAGAGTCTATAGTGGATTTGGGGATACTGCAGATACTCTGCAAAATCATGGATTTTTTTGACACACAAAAAACCATTTGGGTTAATGTTGATGTGTGGATGATCCACTTTTTATGGCAACAACTGGATATTGTTTTCTGGCTCAAGATTTTGGCTCGATCTGATCGGAGATTGTCAGAGCTTTCGAAGAGTTGCTGCCGCAACCATGCAGCTCTTGTGGCCTTGTTTGCTCTTTGCACCTTTTGGCTTTGCGAACTTCCTGGCGTCCAACGCCACTCCCAGCATCAACGTCCCAGGCAGCGTGTCGGAGTCAGAACTTGTGAGCTGCGAGGTTTGCAGGGTGCGTGCAAAAGTCTATGCCAGTACTGCAACGGCAGTGGGCCCCTGTGACCTTGGCGATCCATCCAAAGTCGAACTACTGGTTCAACGTGGACTTGAAGGTGACCAGCTGGAAGTGGGGGAATAAGATCCACTCCACGGTCATGGATGGTGAGTCTTGGTCTGCAGAAGCGATGCTTTTTGTGGATTCAGCCGTTTCAAGAGGCCGAGGTGTCGGGAGCCTGGAGAAGTTGGATTGGTCTCTACACTCAGCCTTAGCCTTAGTCAAAGAATTTTGGGCGGCCATCAACTGCGAGAAGCTGCGTTGGCACAGTTCGGCCCATTGTATGCTTGAGATTCCCGAGATCATATGTATAGTTGTACAGTGTGCAGTTTTGACAAGGTCACAAGGTTTGAAGCCACAGGACTTCTGACAAGACACAGGGCTTTGATTGTAAAAAGACCTTCAAATTAACTGACATGAAATTGTCCGCTGACCTTTCCGGTTTCAGTCGGAAAAGCCTGGAGTTGAAAGCTCATGAGCGGTGAAAATCTGCACCGTTTGAAGAGTTTTGGAAAAGCATTCCAGTTCAATAATCAGCAAGAATTTGAGAAAATCATTAGACGTTGTAGAACTTCCAAGTTTTGGTGATGATCAAGTGATCTTCTTGGTGGTACTCTTGCCATGTCAGTGACTGTTTTTGGTCGTGTAACCAACCAATTTAAGATTTTTACGGGATGACCAATGCAGCGGTTTGTGCATGGTTCATTTCAGGATGATTTCAAGTATCAGTGACCACCGGGATAAATCGACAGTCCAAGAGTCGAAACCTCAAACTTGTTTGGGCGGGATTCGGGGAATCATCCCATTGTTGGGGATAAACTATCCCAACTCAGTGCAATAGCAACCATACATTAACATACATTGACCAATTTGGTGGATGTTATAGCCAATAACGATAGGATGCCGCTTCACCTCCGTCAGGTGAAACCTGATCGCAACATCGAGCGCCTGGCCACGAGGTACAACTTGGAAACTCGGAATTTTGTTGTTGGTTTTGGAGATGGGATGGGTCCCAAAAGTCATCAATCCATCAGTAGGGATTCATATGATTTTATATGCCCATTATGTTTGGATTCCCACTACGGGATGGATGGCCATAGCCCTTGCACATATGGGCGCGTGTTGAAAATGAGGTATTGCCATTTTCATGGGAAAAAATATATACCCATGACATGTGGGGCTACTGTATGTAGGGACTGGGTCAAATGACCTGAGAGGGCATGTCGATCCATTTGGAGGTTGATTTGTGCTGATACCACCAACCAGTAGTAGTTGGCCAAATTCCCACCTTCAGGCAAGACGCCTTCCTTACCCATTTTGCCCATTCACATCCCTATGTCTGGATACCTTGAAAACCAAAAGTGAGGGGCTCCGTTCCTCAGGACACTCGCGTGGTTTCTCGCCTCACTGAGTTGAGGCTTGTGCACCTTTTCGTGCAGCGAAATTCCCGGAATCCGCGTGGCTGTGAAACATTTTTTTTTTCGAGTCGAAACACTTAACTTCCAATTGATATCATTCTGTCTCAATGACACTTGGTGTCTCCATGCTTGATGCCAAAAACCAATGCAGGGTTAGGAGAAAGAAGTCGCAGACAGAAGACTTCAATCGACTTGAGCAGCATCTCAGTCTTTGTAAGAGGCCAGTTGCTGGGGCGGGTGATAGGAAGTGATGGGATGGGTCATGATGGAGTGTGGCAGGAATTCCAATCCAAGTATCCATATAATTATTTTGACACTGTTTGGAGATAGCCAACCAATCAAAACTTGCCTGGACAGTGCTGTTGTTTCTCTTTGGGAAACTCTGTTGTGATTTGTTGAAAGGGTTTGTCCTGTTGGCTGGCACTTTCATGAAAGCATTCTTCTCAACACTGCCGGTGAAATTCTTCGCCTGGAACCTCCTCAGTTTGATGTTTTCCCATATGCCATTGTGAAGACTTGGATGACTAGGGTCATTGTCCAGTTCTGGGGTGATGATTTAATGATTCATGTCTATAGTTAAATATCCGCCAGCGTAGCCCATACACCTCCCAGGCCTTCGGCCACTGCAACGCTTCTCATTGGCAAAGTCCTGGAAGGCAACGGGCTGGGATGAAATTCATAGAGATCATACGAGGATGGGTCAAGACTTGTATCCTATGTCTTCCCACATCTGTATTACATATATAATCATATATACAGGTTGACAATAATTTATATGTGAATATATATATATATTTATAAGAACGTCATGATCCGATAGCATCTTCGGGGGATCGTCATTCATTAACACCAACTATTTTGCCATGAAAACCAAGATACCAGGGTCTTGATCAATAGCCCAGATAACCGTGAATCCAAAAAAATGCGATGCTGATTTTATGTGCTACAACTCTCCAAGCCATTAAAACATGGGAATGGAAGCCACAACACGATGGGGAGGGGGTTCCGAAGCAAAAACACTTCGAGTGACATTCTTAGAATTGTTTGAAAAGAAAATCTACAGGAACCCCCTTTATTTGGGGGTAAGAAACCCGTTGGTTTCTGGTAGATTTTCCCACACCAGGGTTTTAGCTCCGCTGGTTCCAGGGGAGCTGAAGCAAATTCCGGATGTGACCACAGCCAAAGCGCTGGCACAGAGGTGGGGGTAAACACAGATGGGCTGGTCATTTTTGAAAAACAAGGACCATTTGTTTTTTGATCATTTTGATCCCCATACCCATTTCTCGTGACCTTGAGTTGATTTTTTATTTTCCGCATTTCAGGGCGATCTAGACACTGTATCTGTGGATTGTGTTACATCATTTTTCGAAAGTGAGCTCCACCGGAGCCAATTGATCAGGTTCAAGTTGGACAAGGACCGCATGCCGCTTCACATGTTTCTGGGAGCCCCTGTCATGGTATGCCTTCATGGCCATGCATAGGGAACACGATTTTCTCATCCGATGTCGGTCGCAGGATGCGAAATCCAAGTTAAGGGAGATCGCAGAAAAACGGGCAGAGGATGTGGAGGAAGTCATGCTTCACCTGGAAAAGACTCTGGCGTGCCTGGGTAACCGCGTTACGGCCGTTACGGACAGTGGAAGAATGCTGAGATAGTGATGGAACATGTTGGAACATGTTGGAACATGTTGGAACTTGGTGCAATGCTGATGTTGGTTATCAACCATCATTAATTATATAACCATCATTAACCATCATTAATTAACCATCATTAATGATGGTTATATCATTGATGCTTGGAACATGTTTGTTTTTTTTTCACAGTTTCGGACTCGATCTCAGCCAAGCCTGGCGTAAAAAACGACGGCAACACCCAGGATGTCGCACCAGCCATCCGCCACTCTTTGCAAGCTGGCCAAGACCCTCATGGATGGTGGCAAGAAGAAGAGTCCGATGCTTGAAACGCTGAGAAACGCGGTTTGGATGGGGCAAGTTCGACCATGAAAAACATGGAAAAACCCAAACACCACGAAGGTTTCTGGATGTTTCTGGCATCTGACATAGACCTTGGGGCGCCGAAAAAAGCGAGACATCTTCACATGTTGCGATCTAAACTCTTTACAATCTGAAAGATATCTCCACACATACCATCCTTCAAGGTTGCCTACCCAACCGAAGGGGCTTCCAGATTGCCCATGTCTCCACTCTTGTAGTGATGCAGTGGGTCGTTTGTGGACCGAGTTGCAATCTTGGGTCCAGATACTTCAGAAAAAATCAGAAAGTATACAGCTGTGAAAAGAAAGATAGCTATGATATGCTATGATTAGCTATGAATATCAAATAAAGTCAACCTACTTGATGAATGCCGATGCCCATCGTTTGCCGCTGATGTTTGCAGTGGCCAATGAGTTTTTCAGCTTCCAAGGTGCAGATGAGAAGTACGTCAACCAGTCAGACAGCGATGCAGACAGTCCCGTTGAAGAGAGGCCTGACCTCTCAGCAGCTTTCAATATCAAGCTTCGTATAGGTCATATGTCAGAAACATGTGGGCATGCTCCGATTCCCCCTATAGGAGAAATCAATTACCCTCTGGTAAACTAACGTAACTATGGAAAATCACCATTTTTAATGGGAAAACTCACTATAAATGGCCATTTTCAATAGCTATGTTAAATTACCAGAGGGTAGCTACCTCCAGTGCTGAAATTTGGTAGGCCTAAAAGTCGAAGCGCTGCTCGGAGCGTTCCAAACTCAGCGGTCCGAGGGAGGCCAAGGGAAATGGTGGGGAAGCCCATTCCCAATGGTAAAACCGCTCTGTTCTAGGTTCGAACAGATCGAAAACCACTGGGTACCAAAGACATGATGGTTTCCCCAAGCATAAATCCATAAACAAATACACAGTGAATTAAGTTGATACGAATTTGACCTGTTTGAAATCATCTGACGGGTTTTTTACCCCCCATTTGGATGCATTTGGATGCATTTGGCTAAATATGGGGAAAATTGGGTTTTAAATGAGGTTTTAAATGAGGGTTCCAACATTTTTCAACCATCAAAGTTGGGGATTTCCGAGGAGTGCAGCACCGACAGCAGCAGCATTCGAAGAAGACGAGCTGCTCTGGATCGAAGAAGCAGAAGCAGGTCCGATTGTCCTGGGCCTCTACGTTGAAGAACGCTGGGGCCATTTTAAGGATCTGGAACCATCAATTGTGAGCATTAAACCCATATCAGACTATCCATGTTTGATGTCAAAAAAAAATCTTTATGTTTCTTTATGTTTCAAATTGGGGTATGATTAACACTTTTAGTAATTTGACGGTCAATATTGGGGGTTGGTCAGAATTATAAGTTATAGAGGCTATACTAAATTTTATGCGGGTTATGACCGTCATGACCATGGATAGATGATCAAAAGTGGGGTCTGTTCATTCTTGGGGATCTAACACCTTCAATTTTTGGACGTGTCCCGAAATGATTTGAAGCAGTCAAGCAAACAGAGCAGATATAGAACAAACATGAGGGAACATGACAGTATTTGGAAGAATCCAAGTGAGGCAGAAAGCACGTTTGCAGGTGGCGAACTCTCAAATCCCCCAAAGTGCACGGACCCAGAGCACTGTGCATCTAACATGGCCATTGGTGTGACTGTGTTTCTTTGTTTTCGAACTGAGATGCCCCGGGGAGGGTTTCCAATTCAGACGTTGGTATGCCTGTGAGGAGCAGGAAAGGAAAGGGAAAGCAGAAAGGTCAGAAAAAGAAGGACGGAGCTGGCCACAGGTCTTGATTCATGCCCAGTGCAAAACAGGTAGTCACAGTAGTCACCAACCAGGAGCCACTGAATAGGGATAGACAAGCAGGTAGGTGCCACTCTTCTGAAATTCTTCATAGAGGAGCATCCAAGTCTCACATGGGCTATATCCCAATTCCCATTTTCCAAATGACACGAAATCCACATCAAATCCAAGAGTTTCATCGACAATTTCCAGAAATTATCATCGGTTTCTAAGTTTCTCTGGGAAATCCCTACGGTGGTTTTCCCTAGAAATCCCTGGATTTTCCCAGATTTTCCGCAGAAATCCCATGGGAACCCCAGAGCCGTGCTGCAGGAGGCGGCTCCAAAGGCCTTACCCGTTGCGGCGCCGGGCTCCGTCCAAGTTGGAGGGGGCTCAGGTGGTTGGACGGTACCTGGGCCAAAACAGAGGCAGGAAGCTTCAGATTTTTCATATGTCCTTTTATTGGATTTTCATGGTTTTTAATTCAAACTCATATTTTTATCGTTTTTAACTGATTTTTAAGTGTTTGTTCATGGGTGTGACTTGTTCATTTTTAAATGTGTTGTACCTATTTTTCTTAAATTCTCGTTATACTTTTGGAATCTTTTCTGTCTTTTCTTTTGGGATTGTTTGCTACGTATAATCCCAAGGGGATTTGTGTACTCATGTGATGTTTTTGATACCATTCATGACCAAACAATGTCTATGTTGGTTTTGGTTGACTTTATGTTTCCATATGTTTCCATATTTGGGCACTGCCCTCTGGTTGATATGTCAGCAGGAACAGTCTGAACTTGCGCTGACCAAGGTCACGAAGTGGTAGAATCAGTTTCACCACAGGGAACCCGCAGGGTGCATGGATTGCGGACCATTGCGGACCCTGGGACCATGGTGATTGCCATTGAACCATTGAACTCAAGTTTGATCCAATCACTTTTCGTTCTGTTTTGACACCCCAAATGGGAAGCCTGGTGTTCCTTGCTTTATGGCTTCAATCCTTGCAGCTCACGATCTTTTCCACCTCAAAGACCATGCGGACAGATGCAGAGATTGAAAACAAGAAGCTTGGACTTTGAAGATTGTGTTCGCTCTCCATGTTTGTGTTGGCCTCTTGTAAAGCATACACAGACACAGACACACAGATGTTTAGACATCTGGACGGATTTTCAGTAGCCACTTTGTTAGGAACAGGGGCCTGTTGACTCTAAGGATGCTAGCAACGACTGGAGCTTTACAAAGTGGTCACTGTGGTCATTGTGGGTCATTTTTTCGGGACGAAATACGTCCCAAGCGGCCCAAGCTGGTAACTGCTGTTTGTTTTATATAGATTGTTTCAGTCTTAAATCCGATAATCCTGTGGATTTGCCAAGCTCATCTGGGCCATTATTGTGACGATGTTGGACTCAAGACTAGTGGACAAAGTTTCTGTTTGTGTTTGAATGACGGCCATGAATGTTTTGCTCGAATCTTTGGCTCAAAACGACTGGCTAGGAATTTCGTACCGGACGACTAGAACAAATGGCAACGAAGCCAGAAAAAGAGTCCAAACCGCACGTGCCAAAGCGCCTTTTCTTCAAGATGTCTCATGTGTTCGACTCGTTCGACCAGTTTTCTTCTGATCTTTCCGAAAAATCATGACATGGATTCCTTGGGCCTCAATATCAAATTAGATAATATATTATATATATAAAACCTTAGCTACAATAATGTTCAGTAGTATATAGTACATGTTATATACTTACACATCCAGATTGGAATATATATTATATGGCGATATATGTTATATGGCCACATATGTATTATACGCATAGACACACAAGTGAACGGAATGGAGAGCAAGGCCACCTCCTGACGTGTGAGATCCCATGGCTATCCTGTCCACGTCGCCAGCGCCAACCCCTCCACGGAGAAGATCGGTGTCACAGGCGCAGCATGGTGCAGCATGGTGCAGCATGGTGCAGCTGATCTGTGGAGATCAATAGCTGCACAACAAATATCTATGATGATCTATGATTCATCAATGTTTATCTACGCTTATGAATCTATGAAAGATTATCCATGATTGTTTATGATTACATATGCATGATGATCTACGATTATCTATGACTATCTATGATTATCTATGATGCGCCAGGCGGCTATGATATGATATCTACGTCTATGATTAATATCTAGAGCCAAATCTGTCAATCTATGACGACTATCTAGAACACACACACATATATATATAATATGATTTGATGATATGGTGGACCCCCTGATGTCATGCTAGATTTTTTCTCGTGGGACATCATGTTTTTTTTTTTGCGTCCAAGTCCACGTCTGAGGCGTAGCTTGAAGCGAGAATCCGTCGATCTATATCATATTTGACTAGTAACGATGGCTTTCGTGTTGGAAAAAAAGTCCCAAACACACCACGGCAAACTACTCGCAGGCTTCAGGTCGTGATCCCTCACTCCCTGCGGTGGATCGACCACGAAGCACCTCCTGCGGCCGCCAGGTTCGGAGTGGCCGTGGGTTAATGGGTCCACTTTTTGGGTGATTTTGGAGAAAAAATATGTTTTTTTCCTGAAAAATTCGCATTGGAACTACAAACCATCTGGAACCCTTTGTTGAAATGGGATGATTAAGGGTAGTGAGGCATGGTTTCTGCCGGTTGGGTTGAATTTCTGAGCTTCTTGCCTTGTTGGGACTTCTGGGAAATGTGAGATTTGCAGAGAATGGAGGAAGTTGTGCTGGGCAGCTCTCCTGTTCCAACCCATGGCTGCAGCTTCAAATGTTATCACTTGCTACTTCCAGAAGGGTGAGAACCGCACGGTTCAGGGGTTCAGCACTGTCCGTGGAACCATGGGCCACGGTTTGGGCTCCATTTCACGGCTGACCGGGAAACGTGGGGCAAGGTTCGGGCTCCATTTCACGGCTGGTGTCTTTAAGGTTTGATTTAGGGGTTTTTAATGGTTTCACTTGCGGATTCTTTATAATTTATAAGTTTTCTGTCGGGTTTCTTCAGAATCTATTTAGGGTCTATTGGAAGTTGCTTTCGGGTATGGGTTTCTTTACGGGTGTTTTTATGTTTAAATTTACGTTCTATTTGGGGTCTCTTGAACGTTGACTCATGTTAAAAAAAAGGATTGTAGGGGTCAGAAAAACAAGGGGTCCAAAAAACAGGTTGGCAACCGTGAAACCGTGGAGGGGCGGGCTGCGGGGGGGTCACAGGTGCCGACGCCACGAAGCCAAAGCTTACAAAGATCGTGGGGGGGCCCGTGGCCATCGGCAAATCCGTGGCAATACGCAACTGGTAAAACTTACGTGGACCACGAGTCCCATGTTGGAAGGGTTCTTGGTGTGATCGCATTAAGGGAACTTGAAAATCCCAGAGCCAAGGCTTGGCCCTCGCGGCGAGGCCCGGAGCGAGGCTCGGAAGAAGGAGCCTCCGCGGGTTGAAGGACTGCCTGCAGTCCGGAACTCAGGGTGTTAATGGATCAATAATAGCTAGGCATATTATTGATGAAATTACAATAAATTATATAATAGGTATATTTTGAATGGTATTACTAGATCATACTAGATCCATAACCCTCTATTGGAGATGGTTATGGCATTGGGATAACCATGTAAAAAACAATATAAAATCCATATTTGGAGGGATGAACCCGTTTATGCCAGCTGAGTCATTTTCGGTGGTACATGGCGGTACCAGGGTTTTGATCTATAGCCAGATGAGCAATGGTCAAAAAACCTTGCTGGTTGAGGATGAGTTCGGGGGTTCTACAAAATATCGATTGTTTTTTTTCATCCCTGAAATCGCAATCCCGTTCTTAACGTACGAGTATCATGGGAATTTTCCAGATGGGCCTGGAGTCTGTGAAATTGGGATTTCAAGCAGCGAAGATGGGGATTTACGATGATTTTATTACAACTATGGCCCCAAATGGATATGACCATCAGCTTGAGAGGACACTTTGTCTAGTAATGGACAAAAAATCAAACCTTGATGCTGAGCCAGGAGTTGTTTCTTCCTTGGAATTGGTTTTAGGGAAAAATTGAATGAACATAGTTATTTGATGGTACATGTAGTACAAAACATAGTTTTCTGTAAATGAGTTTGTCTGAGTCTGAAACTTTAAACAATCAGATACCACAGAATTTCATGGATGATTATCATTTTTCCAATAACACTTACCCAAAAAAATGCATTCCCTATGTTTGGACGCAATTTTTCTGGTACAAACCATGGTCTCCAAGAAACTTTTACCCTCACCTAATCCAATGAGCCCTTCAACCAAGAGGACCCTATGCCACACACCCTGTGCCACAGGTCCTGTTTCTGGATGTGGATGGTGTTCTCCACCCGGTGCAGGTGGAATTCCTTTTTTCATGGCAAATGGATGCAAATGGGGGATGTAACCATCAAAAACTGGGATCTTATTATCAGACAGTTGGATTTAATCATGACATTTTGGGCTGATACGTATTTAACTGCTCATGAATATTGCTTCATCCTGCGCTTTTAGCAAACTAGGGGCTTCACCAACAACCCGGGAATTTTCAGTTCTAACCAACAAAATTGGTTTGACGAAAATAGGAATACCGCAAACTGGCAGTTTTCATGGGGAACATGATCAACCCTGAGTGTTTCCATACCCTATTTTCAGACAAATCCAAATCAGTGTCTCATATGTTGAACAAAAACCGTAGGAGTTTCTGGAAAAACAGCTTGACAACTGATATTCCCAGTGTGTGAGAGTCTGGTGAGGCTGTTGGTCCGTGATATTGACATCCATGCCTTTGTCCGCAACAGCAGGCGCGGCATCCGCGGCAGCAGTTTGCCACTGGCTGTCTGGCTGGCAGCTCAGAGGATGTTTGCCCTTTGCTTAAGTGGGTCTGTTGCACCTTAGCTTTCTGACTTCTTGGCGTTTTTTGGAAGGTTTCTGGACCCCCTTAATCAAATCCGACGAAAAGTATGAGCAATTTTCTGCAGGGAAAACAAAGAGGTGTGGAGCACCTGGGTATCCGCCACTTTAAATGAACCAAGCCGACATGGCCAGCACACTGCAATATTCCGGTGCTGAGGCGCTTGTGGCCGATGTGGTAAAGGTGCACGGCCCTTTTTCTGTTTTAGGAGAATGTGTCTAAAGGATGCCTTTCTGCGACCCTAAACGATGGGTTCTTAGTTGGTCACATCCACAGTTGTATTGAGGTCACCACTGGTCACCATTGGTCACCCTTTAAAAACTGTGAATCACAGGCCACTGGGGCTGCCATTTGCCTCTCCACTGCCTGGAGATTGGATCCCTCTGCACGGCGCTTTGTGGAGGAACCCACTGGTGGATGCATTTAAGAATCTAGACGTACACAAATGAATAAGTTGAAGAAGTGTATAGATACATACCTAAATAATATATATATATACACATATATATATATATATTTATATTATAGACATACACATGTATGTTTACAGCTATTTAATGTAGTAAAAGCAACGCCAGGGTGGGCATGCAGCTTTGACATGAAACCATGGAAGATTGAGTAATTCGAGCTTGGAATCGTGACCCAACTTGGACATGGTGTCAGCAATTGGTATGATGGGACGGTATTATCCATGAGGACAGGATCAAGAAAAGGGTGGTGAGATTGCTTGACATTCACAGATAACTAGCAAATTTGACATTTTTTTAGTGGGGCAGTTGTCAAACGCAACACCCATCGACGGAAAGACGGTCCAATGCAAAACCACTTGTGCTCCCACGCCGGGAATCGGCAGGAAAAACTTCGAGAATTTGGGTGGTCGTCTTGGAAACGATGAATGTTTCAAGACTTTCAAAGTGATTTGGATATAGAATAATGAACATAATAGTAGTGATAATAATCATATTAATACATATATTTGAGTGATTTTCCGAGATGACTCAACTGTCTTCCAGGTTGGATTCACAAGGATTCAGTGGATGAATGGAGCTTGGCCGTGTCTCAGGTTGGGTCCTCCAATTGGACGGACCCCGAACCTGGCTCAATTTCACCGCAGCCGAGAAATCCTCGCGTGGGTGCAGGATCCTGGGAGGAATGGGTTGGGATTCAGTTGAAACATGGCTATGGGTCAATACCTATGAAAATACCATATTTTTAGTGGGATGAACATCCATTTTAACCCAGCTATTTTGATGTGAACAGAAGGGGTACTATTGGTTTTGACACACTGCTCAGGTCACAAAGTTCAAACCAAGCACTTGGGTGGCCTTGGATGATTGGCCCCTAAACGAGGAAACTTTGGGCCCGGGGTCCGGGGTCGATGGTGGCAAAGACAGCAAATTGGCAAAGCTGAGCCTTGATCCGTGGTGAAAAACACATGGTAAATCATGATAATTTAGGTTTTGCTCCGGTTTCTGGTGCCTAAACCCGCTTTTTGTAAGCTTGATTCCAAGTCTTTTGCCCCTGGAAGGAGGATTCGAAGATGCATGGCCACTTTGTACAGTCTCGACCCCGTTTCGGGCTTCAGCCCAGAGCTCAGGGATAAGATTTCACGAAGAATCACTAGGATATTACAGGGATTTACAGGGTATGCAATAGACAATGCGGATACACCTGGAACAATCTTTTGTCTATAGCATCATAATCATTGGAATCATTCTATGGGAATATCTATTGGAATCATACCATCGATTACCCTAGGATACAATGAGAATATCTAGTATCATAGTGGGTCTGACAATCTATAAGACTGGAGCTAGAAAAAGGATAAAGGACACCACCAGCAGATACTTCAACCAGAAGAGTTTCTCCAATTACAGTGGTTACAGGAGACCATACAGTTTAATGCAGCTGTTGGAATATTGAAACCGAATACTTGGAGAGTCCTTGATCCAAGGATCTGATATGTGCCATGATCAAAACAGGCTTTATTTCACATAAAGGGCATCCGCCATGGTTCCCCAATAGGGCTAAAAAATCCTGTCGGATGAGGCCGGACACAGCTCAGCGTGTGGTGGAACTCTTCAAAGCGCAACAGTTGCTGCCCAAGTCCCACATGGCTTTCAGGGCAAACTCCAAAGATTGGCAGATTCAAGTTGCAAGAAACTTACCCTCTGGTAAATAAACATAGACCCTGAAAATCACCCATTTTTAATGGACACTAATCTTCCAACCCCTATCTGGCAGGGTCTATGTTAATTTACTGGAGGGTATTTGGTTGGTGGTCTCATTTTTTTAAAAGACATGTTCAACCCATTTCAACCTTTTTGGATCGCTCAACCACCAGCCAGTCATAGGTCGGTTTTTTCTAGCCAATGCCGGAAGGGAGAATCTAGGCTGGCTAGGTTTTTTTTGCCTGATGGATCTGGTCATTTAAAATGGCTATGGAACATTTGAATTTTGAATGGGTAAATTATCTATAAATCTGGCAAACTGTTAAACCACCGAGGGTGTACCCTTTTGTCTAACCACATTTTTTCGCAACGCCAAAGGCAACCCTTGAAGAGCCACGCTTGAGGAGCCACGCTTGAGGCGGAAGTGTTTAGATCCAGAGTTGGGGGTTGGATTCTCCACGATCTCAGTCGTAACTGGTCTGGATACGAGCTTTCAGTGAGAATTTGATATTCCGTCAGATTGAATGGAAGGGTATACATCAAAAGGTGACAGAACCACCTCTAAGTACATTTGATTTCTCTGAGCCTAGAAGTTCTCTGAGAAATACGTCAACATTTCTCTTAGCAAAGCCAGTGACATTTCGAAAACAATGTCTGTATGACGTCTACAAAAATCCTATAATGGTGTGGATATCATTTCGATGTGTTGCCCACAGCCCCAAGATTCCGGAACCTAGCCCAAACAGGGCTTGGGCTGAGCTTTCTGTCTAGGGGACCTAGATTGAGTTGAAGTCCCGCGGCCAAGTCGCAGGCTCAATTGCCAAAGAGCTAGAAAATGGAAGCCACATGGCCACATGATTGATATTTTGGATGTTTGACTCTTACAGGTGTCAAATGCTCCAAAATTCAAGGCCATTCATGTGGGGATCAAGAGTATGGAGAAGCTCCCAGAGTTTGTCAGTTGAACTTGACCTGAGTTTGCTGTAGACTTCCCCCGAAATGTATGCCCTAAGCTTTTGGGCATACCCAAATTTCGGAGGTGTGAAACAGTGAAACTACCATTTTGCAGATTGCCCATCAATGAGAGGCACAAGTTTTGAACGGACTTGTAACATGTTACTGTTGCACCTACCCAAAATCAGCGACGGTCCACCTGGGGCTCACTTTCCATGTTGAACCAACAGTTTTTTTGGGGCATACCCCAGGGCCCCATCGCGTTTTTCCAAACCAAAACGACCAGGGCGCTTGGGCAGCTGAATGAGAAGAGACCATGCCAAGACTGACTTAGCAGTGCGTAATTTTGCATTGCCTTTTGCAGTTGGCATCACATGTCAACTGGGGGACGGTAATATCATTAGGAGCATGGTGTTGGGTCCAAATCAAGCAACAGAGAAGATCTCACGATATGAGATGTCCCAGAGAGCAAGCGCGGAAACTGCGCGAGAATTTGTCCATATTCAAAGATGGCAGTGTGCAATTCAAAGTTGCTGGCACTGCCTGCCATGGTTTCACGCGCGAAAGCTTTTTTGTATGTTATTTGACAACAAGTGGTTATTTTTTTTATCAGAAGGTAAAGGTGCTTGACATGGAAAACCTGCTTTCCATCACTAGAGCTATGTTGACTTGCTAGCAACATGGCGGAAGCCTCGGGAAGAATTTTCCCAATAAAAATATTGAAATGAAATCAACTTATTTCATATAATATTTCTGATAAATTTTGGAAATTACACAAAACAAATTCTTTTAGGATATAGATATAGATAAATTAATTATGTATAATTATGATATTTTTTTGTTGAAACAAGTGTATTCTTGCGGCGCTGCCTTTGTGAAGTTCTCACCGCCTTCAGTAAAGTATGCGAGCAAATCGAGGGGTTCGAAATCCAATACGTGCTTACTTATACCTGATTGTTTTGTTATTGATCTCAAGCGAGGTTTTATCGAACAAGGTCTACTAGTAATTATTATTTTTTGCTCTAATGGTCTAATTATTGCTGGATTTCTTTATTTATCTGATTTTTTTCTGGATAGCGCACTATAACATAATCTTGGATCTTATTTTTGATTTTGGATTTGATAATTAATTTGTCGTATATCGGATTTTTCGGATTTGAAATATTATTGGGATATAATAATATTGATAAAAAATTGAAATTTATAATTGAGATTTGGTAAAATCTCTTGAGAATTGAAATTTATTTTTAGAAGGAAGGAAAAAAATAAATTTTAAATTATTATTTTTTTTAAAATAATATTTATTTAATAAACAAAAAAATATTTTTTAAATTTATATATATTTAATAATTAGAACAAATTTTTTATATATTATTATTTTGGTTTATATTTTGATTTTTATTTTACTTAATTATATATTTTTTGATTTTTAACTGAATTTTAAATAATAATAATATATATATGTATTTGGGATTATTGTTTGGAATTATATTTATTAATATTTTGAAATATTATATAATAAATTAAATTTATTATGTTACGAATATTTAGTTTATTTTAATATTAAATATATATGGTATTTTATTATTTTTTGATTTTTATAATTTAGATTAATGTATTTTGAATATTTTGGTAGGTGGATTATATATATGGTAAATTTTAAATATTATTTTATATGTTTTATTGAATTTTGGAATTAATTTAGTGTTTATTATAATTTTTTTTTTTTTTTAAAAATAATTTTAGATATATATTGGTGGAAGGTGGTACTTTTATGAAACATATTCCGAAGTATATTTCGAAGCATAACCCCGAAGTATACCCCGAAGTAAACCCCCCCAAAATGAAAATTATTTTTGAAGGCTTATTAATGGTTGTTATTTGGAGATTATGGGTTACGACACTTGTTTTATGCTGCTTTTAGGCGCCCTTTGCGCTATCCCGCCCTCGATCCCCGTAGTTTGGCTGTTGATACAGCCAAGTAGGTTGAAGAGATTCGGTGCTGACAGGTCGTTGTAGCTTCATGCTGCCTTTACGCTATTCCGCCCTTTATCCCCGCAGTCTGGCTACTATGTACAGACAAATAAATTGAAGATAAGATAATTTTGATGTTGATTCGCCGCTGTAGCTTCATTGAGACAGCCGATATCGTTTGTATCGACCAACTTCTGACCCTGGTAGATTTTGAATGCATAAATAAAATACTTTACATCTGTATATAAAATCTGAAAATAAAATATCCTTGCCCATACCGTTATGATACTAAAGCTACGTCTTGAATAACCCACCTACTGTTAGGAACAAACGTACTTCCTATAAACAGCTACGCCTCGAACCAACTATACCTCCTGTCAGAATTAGTCCCGGGCTTCACCTGTACTTGGGAAAGCCAGACTCTGGCCCTTGGCGGTTGATTTAAATCAAAACATCATATATATATTTATCTTTCTCTCTTTATATTATATGCGTACAAGGATATACACAAGGATATATAAAAGATTAGAAAATTTGTTTGAAGCCTTTTAAATATGAAATAAATTCCATATGATGAAATTTATGCCGAAGCATACCCCCGAAGCAAACCCCGAAGTATACCTCCGAAACATATCCCCTAAATAAATCTTCCAATGGGGATACGATATTTCCAGACGAATCCTAATTTATTCGAACCTTTTCCGGAATCTTAATAAATTTAATTTAATTCTATACCAAAACCTCCCAAATTTTTTCCGGATTTTTTTTTAGAACCGGAACCCCATTAAACCTAATCTATCTCTACACCAAAACAAACCTTTACCGAAACCTTTTCCGGAAACTTATTAAATCTGACCTAATTCTGTAGCAAAACCTCCCAAATTTTCTCCGAAAGCTTTGCAACCTCCTCCGGAACCTCATTAAACCTAATCCTTCACCTCTACCAGTGTACATCGGAACTATTCTAGGCTCTTACTATAAATTTACGCTACTAGGGAAACATCAATTTATTTTTTATTGGTCTTAGTCAAGGCGTTAAAATATAGAATAATTTTCCTGGTTACGAGGATGGAGCTTTAAATTTGATTATTTTGGCTCGTTTGGTGCTTGCCCTTTTAAGCGAAAAAACATATATTTCCCTTTTCCCCATAATTATATATATATTTTTTCTAATTTTAATACGATATATTTTCCTAAATTTAGACAATTATATAATTAATAAATAAATAATAAACATAAATTTTGGTAATATATCCAATAAACTGGCCGCCGTTTAAGCATCCACATTTTTCCCCTTTTTTGTAGAAAAAATATTGGCTTCTCGTGTAAAAATTTTGGTTTCTCGTGTGTTTACTTACCGAGTGAAAAAATGGAGAATATGCCTATCTGGCCAGCTATGCCAACGACGAGTAGACTACTACTATTACTACTACTACTGACTACTACTCCTACTACTGACTACTACTGACTACTACTGACTACTACTGACTACTACTGACTACTACTGACTACTACTAACTAACTACTACTGACTACTACTGACTAACTACTACTAACTACTACTAACTACTACTAACAACTACTACTAACAACTACTACTAACAACTACTACTAACAACTACTACTAACTACTACTAACTACTACTACTTACTACTTACTACTTACTACTTACTACTTACTACTTACCAATAGTACCCGCACGAGGCGGGGCGGAAGTTGCCTTAAAGATATATATGAGACCTTTCTCATCTATAGAACTTGCATGCGCCGTGCGCCAGCCAAGCCCGTGCGTGCGTGCACTCTGCGAAACTGGTGTCGTGTTGCACATGTCACATTTGAAGCTCCACGTCACACTTCACACTTGACAGTTTTCACACTTCACACTGCACCCTTCGCAATCAACACTTCACACTTCTCACTTCACACTGCACTCTCCCCAATCCACACTTCACACTCCACACTTCACACTTCACAATCCACACTTCACACTTCTCACTTCTCATTGCTTTCTTCACACTCCACACTTCACATTTCACGCTGCACTCTTCACGCCCCACACTTCACACTGCACTCTTCACACTCCACACTTCATCTCATCTGAGCTCTTCTCGGCGCTTCTGCACGTCAGCAAGGTTGAGCGTAACTTATGTTGGTTCTTCTACATGCCAAAAGGTATAGACCAGAAAATATTTACAATATTGAAATCATTAATGCCAAGCATTGATGCATTGCATCAAATCGCAACGGCAAGTGTAAACATGGTGTAGTTGTTACCTGTCAAGGAAATTCATGCAATGTGCCTTTTCCCAAAGCCTTCATCTCCTCTAAGTGCGCTTCTGCAGCAGCACAAAACTTCCGAAAGGCTGCTCGCACATCTGACACGCAATTTTCTTTTTCCCGTTCTTGTATCACCTGAGTCTGTTCGGCCGAAAAGGTTTTCTCAAGAGCAAGATACATCTTGTAATACTTCCAACATTTTCCGGTGCTTAGACAAGCTTTCAACGTCTTACATTCCAGCACCTTCGAAGTCGCCGCTTCCTTCTCGATATATGACAACAGATCAGCAAAGGTCCCCGATTGCGCCATGGCTCCACCGCGTCTTAGGAAACGGGCCGCACTGCCACGTCTCCTTGCGCACTGCGACGTCCGAAATTATGAGCATGGCTGTCTCATCATGCATACCTTTCTCATCCACTAACCTTTCCAAAACATGAGAAAATCTTCGTGTCTAACCATGAGACCTGAAGACATGACACCTCTAACAAATGCGCGTTCCCAATTCTTTCTTGCTACACATGTTTGCCTCCTGGAAAATGCAAACAGCTGCGGCCACAACACATCGCCACCGTGGTTTCTAATCAAGAGTTCTATAGCTTGTTCCTGAATATCAATGTCACAACATTTACCTACATCAATATCGCACACAAAACTCGAAATAGCAACCTACATCCACGAACTAGCTGACAAACTACTTCCCAGTACTACTTCTCAGTATATACTACTTGGTACTACACAACTTGCACCCAATACTACTTTGTACTACAAAGCTTGCAAAAATTACTTCCCAGTACTACTTTGTACCACAAAACTTGCACAAAGTACTCCCCAGTACTACTTTGTACTACAAAGCTTGCACAAAATCCTTCCCAGTATATTACAATTTACAGCTCCAAAACTGGATCTCGACGCCAAAGCGACAAAAAGACGATTTTGAAGCACTTTTTAGAAGGAATTTTAAAAGGAAAATTATCAACGCCAAAATTGGGAAAATCTGCTGACAAATCATTTTCGCAGCCTTGATGCAGCCATTCCAATACGATTTACGATCTTCAGCTGCAAAAAACAATAGTATTACGCATGCAGCCGCTGCACCAAGTAACCTTGACACAGCCACTACAATGCGATCTGCAGAGACTAAATAGCAAAACACAATAGAACTACATACAATGGCATCGGAAATTGCAGCTCCAAAACCGGATCTCGACGCCAAAGCGAAAAAAAGACGATTTTGGTGTACTTTTTAAAAGAAATTTTAAAAGGAAAATTATTAGCGCCAAAATTGGGAAAATCTGCTCACAATTCACTTTCGCAGCCTGGATACAGCCACTCCATACGATTTACAATCTTCAGCTGCAAAAGACAATAATATTA